AAAATTAAAAACCCAAACCAAAAGCTGAAAATCAAAAATAGAAACTTAAAAAATAAAAACCAAAACCTAAAACAAAATCTAAAAATAAAAACTGAAACTAAAAACTAAAGAATAACAATCATCACCACAAATTTTGGTAAACTGATTTTATTCCACAACATTCTTTAAATTAAGATAAGACTCAATTACATAAATTTTTAATCATAAAAAATTTCCGCATTTTCAAAGCGCTGGTTTATGTTTTATGCAAACTTTATATAATCGTATTTCCTATACATGTAGAATGTGGGATAGACTTGTTTAGTTTATTAATTTCATCAAACATAATATTTTAAAAAATGCAGGATAATCTTTCGATGAAAATTTTATATGACTGTATTTTTGTTTTATATAAAGTAGACATGTGCATAAAATCCATAACTCGACGTTTAAACTCAATATAAACAAAAAAATTTGGATCTGTAACCGGTAAAAAAATTTAATATATCAGAATGAGTTTTGTAAGATGCTACAAAATATATCTTAATCAAAGTGTTATTAGCTATACCCGAATGAATAACCCAAAAAACAAAAAAAACTGGAAAGAATCTGAATCGATCTGAATGTCCAAATTAATCATAAATATAAATATTTGAAACATAAATATCTAGTTTAAATATTCAGTTCTATATTTATTTTAAAATGATATTTAAAATTAATTATCTAAATTTTAAATAAGTACTTTAATATCCAATTCTGTAAAAATAAGTATCTTTTTGTTGTTTTATTTTTAGATTTTATATTGTCAAACCAATATAACCCGAATCCGAATGATATATGGTTACTTTATCTGTTTTAGGATGTGTACAAATTAGAACCAAACCCGACATGTTATATTTGAATCTGATCCATACTTATAAATATGCCTACTTACAAACTATGACACGCATGATGTGATATAAATTAGCTTTGATTCAAAATATTCGACCCGTATCCCAATAGTTACTTAAACTTCCAAGCATAACTTAAATTATGTTCTATATTTTGTTAAACTAATATTATATTTGATAAATATTTTATCTGTTTATTGGAATAACTCGTAAAATTATAAGTATAAAAATATCTGTAATAACATGTTTCATCATTTAATTAAATATTAATAGTAGCTATTATTAATATTTATTTTATAAATATATATATATAAACGATTTTAAGACTTTATCTATGATAATTATATTATTATGTGTTGATAGAGGTATTAAGAATTTGTTTATTATTAATTTGTGTATCATTTACATATAGTTAAATATTAAAATTTTATATCCTAATGTTTTAATTTAGATATGTGTATTAAAATTTATAATTATTTCTTTTTTAAATATCTTATGGTAGGATTTTGTTATTCTTTAAATGTAATTCATTTAGTTTATAATTTATAAAGTAGATTAATCTAAACTATTAAAGGTGAAGTACAAAAGAGAAATAACCCTTAGTTTTCCTCAAAAATTACAATAGAATGCCACTTCTTTTTTTACTCTTAACCATAAATAATTTTAATAAATGAAATTACAAAATACATAATAAATAATGTTTCCATAAAAAATCGTATGTGATACATCAGATTACCTAATATTTAGCTAACATAAAAGATTAGAATCTTTCATTTCCTAAACAAATATATAAAATATAAAACCAAAAAATCTGTGACAAAGTTATGTTGTAGGATATGTTTACCAAGATATAGATTTTTTATTTTTTTTAAAAACCTCATAAATGAGTAATTTGAAACCATTAAAATTCATTTTTTTTTGTTAACATATAGAAATAACTTATTTGCAAGCTGGTCACAAGATTTAATTTGTTAAAAAATTGTAACAAAAAATAATTTAATATATTAATAATAAATTTCATTCATACAATAAAACATGAAATTTTTGAACTATAATTTTAACCAGACACAATATACTTATTAATCGATACAATCTTTTTTAATAATTACATTACTGATCCTAGACACATCTAATTAGAAAAATACAGAAGTACATCCAGTAATGTGATACATGGGCTCAACAATAAAATAAAATAGTGCAAATGTAATTAGGAGTGTTCAGTCCGGTAAAACTGAACCAAAATAAAGAAAATGGTTTGGATTTGGGTAGTACCTATTAAACATAATGAATATTATTTTTCAAAACCCGTAGTATATGCATATGGTTTAGTATGTAAACCAATCTAACCGAAGAAAACAATTAGTTAAAAAAATTAGTATACGTATATGTAAATTTAATAATAATATTAATAATATATATACATAACTATTTTATTAATATAATATTCATAATCAAAACATTGATTATAGTGTTTTTATGTGTTTTGAAGTTAAAATGGTAATTTTTTTTTCTCATTTTCGTCAAATTAAATAAAACATATTTTTTATTTTTATTGATAACTCCTTGTGCTAAAATATAATTATATAATAATATTATGATATTATTATTTTCTTACTATTTTAATATTTAAATAAAACAGAAAATGTTATATTTAATACTTAAACTAAGGAATATATATATATGTGTTTTAATAAATTTGATTTCTATTTATATAATCTAAAATTTGTTATAAAAATAAATATAGTTATGTTTTTTTTGTATAAAACCGAATAAAAAAATAGATGTATATAAACCAAACCAAATCAAATTAAGTATTTTTCCGATATGGTAACTAATTTTTAAAAACAGAAATACCAAAAAACCAAAAACATCAAACCGAAACCGTACCAAAGTATAGACTGAACATGTTCTCCAAATTATTGTGTGTTTGGAATCTTCATATTGATGTTGTAAACCAAATACCCGCGCGGGGGCGCGGGTCAAAATCTAGTTTATATTATAATTATTATTTAGTGTAATGGGTAAATACAAATAGGAAATATTTATATATAAATATTATCAAAGGTTATTTCTTATTCTATAAATCAAAATGAGTTAATATTCATTTGTAATTTAATTTAATATTATTTAACGTTTTTTATTATTAAAATAATATTAAAACAATAAACATTTATTTTTAAAATAAAAATATATTAAAGATATTGTTAAAATGTAATCTGAAAAGTAGTTAAGAGTATCTTTTTGATATCTTATTTTGAATATATTTAAATATTATATTAATATTATGTGTTTATTTAATAATAACTAAGTTTATTGTATGTAACATAACATACAATTAAATAAATGTAATGTTTTGAGGTAGACTACTTGCAAGTAGATAAAAAATGCTTCTGTTTTAATAGCATTGACCGTTTTAGGATTATTTTTGTTTGGAAATAATGTTTTTAGTTATGTTTTGACAATTGCGTAATGATTCTCGAGCGTTAATCCTGGCTGAATCAAAATTGCGTTTTGTTTCCACCCAATAATTTTCATTTTAAATAATATTTGCTTTTTCTTGATGATTTATTGACTGATTTATTTATATGAAAATACATAGTGTTGTATAAAATATATCAATATACTATGATATAATAAACGAAAATCGATTTATACTACATTTGCTGCATATTGAAACAGAAAATGAGATACTTGGAGTAACAAATCTCATTTGTTACTCCAGAATCTTGCAATATTTAAATTCTTCCTTATATACTTGGAGTTATTTTTGACTTATAAAAAATTATTTTTGAGTTACCTTTGACTCTCATAAATTAATTTAATATTTTATTTTATGGTCAAACAAAAAAAGATCCGCCCTTCTTAAGCGCGGGTCAAAATTGAATATTATTTTTATTGTTCAAAAACAATAGATGTAATTATTTTAACTAACATAAATAAACTATATATGAAGCGCGGGTCAAAACTGAATATTATTTTTTATGATTTTGACCCGCGCTTTTCAAACGCGGAAATTTTTTGTGATTAAAAATTTATGTAATTGGATATTATCTTAATTGAAAGAATGTTTTGGGATAAAATTAGTTCACCAAAATTTGTGGTGATGATTGTTATTCATTAGTTTTTAGTTTCAGTTTTTATTTTTAGATTTTGTTTTAGATTTTGGTTATTATTTTTTAAGTTTCTATTTTTGATTTTCAGCTTTGGTTCAGGTTTTTAATTTTTAGACCCGCTGAGTTAGTTTGAACTAATATTTACTAACAAACAAATCCCAAATAATCGAACATCTAATTTAAAACTGAAAATATGACAAAAAAGTTTTTAAAGAAATTTGCAATAGTTTATTTTGTAAATAAATAAAAGCAAAAAAATATAACCAGTTTTTTCAGTTTTTGGTTTTGGATTTTAGTTTTTAGATTTGGTTTTTGGTTTTGCTTTACACTTTTTTAATGAGTAAATTATTTAAGAGAAATAAAAAAATAAATTATTTAAAAGTTACTACTGAAATTTATCAAAACAAAATGATTGTTATTTAAAATAAAAAATACATTAACATGTTTTAAAGTACATGATTTAAATAAATGATTAATAATAGACAATTTTGTTTTTTTTTTAAATGTTAAATACCTTTTGGGCTCGAAAATAATAACTGATTTTTTTATTCATTAAGGTGAAAAGTTTATTCAATGTTTTTTAGAGTTTTTCCTTAATACTAAGCCCAAAAACCAAACCATATAATTTGTTCTAAAAATAAAAGTAAGCCCAAGATTATATCTCATAAATAACCATCGGTTTAATTTAAGTAATGCGGTTCAATTAACTATATATATGACTTGTATTATTTTTAACACTCTACAATAAATCCAAATTTAAATGACAACTTGTATCAATAGATAAAAAGAATGACTTTATTTTAGTAGAGTAGATGAATGTGTATGTGGTTTTGTTAACCGAATTGTACCGAACCAACTTTTAGCCTTTTATTAGGCTTTTAGTGAAAATGTCGACAAAAAGAAAATACACATCCACGGGGCTACAAATAACAAAAGCTAGCTAGTCTTCGGCGGTTCGTCCGCATCAGATATTTCTACGGCAGCATATCGGCTTTATGCTTTTTGACACAAGCGACAACTACGCATGTTTCTCAGGAGTTTCTTCCTCGGCCGTGGCATCGGCTTCATGCTCTTTGGGAAATAGGCTCTTTAGTTTGTACATCATAGTAATAGGATCCCAGCGATACATGTCATCAGAGTTGTTATGCTTTTCCCAGCCTGGCCATCCTGGTAAGTTCATGGCGTCATGATCAGTCCGAGGTTCCAAGGGAAGAGTGTCATCAACAAGCATCTCTTCTTCGTCTCTGTAATCCTCCATGTCACTCAGCATCTCAGGTCTTTCTTCTTCTACTTCTTCCTCTTCTGCAGTGGCATCATCGGCTTCAAGCAGCGTGAGAGAAGAAGATTCTTGAGAGATTTGGCTTGTTTCATCATTAAAAAAGTATGCGCCTTTATCCATAAGCAATCCAGGCCAGTCAGGGCTTTCTGGATTGTTAATGTCCAGACTCTGAGAAGAGGACCCAATTCTTGAAGCATATCCTTTCGGAGTGGCTACGAAAAGCTCGTAACGCATGTCACCCAATTTTTGAAGCATATTGGTGTAGTAGGCGGCATCTTCGAACTGATCTGAGAATATGAACAAACTAGCTTCATAACTCCTCTTCATCTGAGGAGAGTCCCTTACCCATAAATAAATGTCATTTAACATTCTCACACGTCGTTTATCTCCTGGAAAATAAATAAAAAGTATGTGATAGATGAAATGGAAGTGAGATTATTATTACCATATAGTGTAGATATAAAAAGAGTGTGAAATCTCTCACCTCCGGGGAGAAAGTGGATTCTGGAAAGCCACGTCTTGTCACCACCCAGTAACCTCTTGTCATCATCATCAAGATAAGCCCATATTGTAATGTTATCACTAAACTCCCTTGCCACAAGAGCTGATGAGATAGAGTTGTAGATCTCATCAGGAGTGGAACCAAGAGGGAATGGACAATCCACGGTATCCCAGAAGACAGCTGTCCTAACCCCTTTGACGGTTGGGATACGCTCTGAGAGATGGCAATAGAAAAGAGAAATAATAAAATATTAATATGAATCTAAAACAAACAAACAAAACAATTTGGAATTAATCAAAGATCTTACCGGAGAAATCTACCGTCTTGGAGACATCTTCTTTGGTCACTACTTGATCCTTTTCTACATGGAGATCATACTGATACGTACGATGACTATGTCGAGCTTTGTACCGAGGCTTTCCTCCATCCAAAAGTCTTGCATTATTAAGTAGAGAGTCTAGAGTAAAGAGATATGATTCTTCATCAGGAGGCGGCTCTACTAGGACAACATTGTGACGCCTAGATTTCAAACAGTGCAGAACCCTGTGCAACTCCCTTTTTGGTTTTGCGATTACCAAAAAATTTATCGGTCCTGGTCCAAGCATTGATGCGAAACGAATCATACGCAAAGTGATATCCGGCACTTTGTAAACACGAGCCCTATAAGACTCACCTATTATAATAAACAGAAGAGAAACAACTCATCGGATCGATTACATTAACATAATAATTGGAAATTAGAAACTAGTACGAGAGCTAAAGAGAGAGTGTTGTTGTGATGAGGAGTTTAATTACATTGGATTAAGCAGTGGTTGAATAGTTCGGACTCTTTTTTGTCACAGCTGACTTGCTCAGAATACAATGTCACGTCCATATACCCAAAACAAAAACCCATTACATCCAGAGCTTTTGACATATCACCAAAAACAGGACTAAGATCAACGCTACCATCTACAGGGATTGGGTAGTCATCTATGTTCCAGAACACGTATGTCTGCTTCACTACACAGAAAATACAATTTAGAAGAAAAAAACACCATTATTACTTTGCTATAATCTCGCATCAAGATGAAATCTAACAAATTAACTATCTCGGGTAAGAGATGGAGAGAGAGATCTTACACGACTCAAAATCCACCGTCTCGTCTTCGCACATGGCTCTACGGAGATGGCGATGAGAATTGGAGACTTTCTCTAGCTAAGTTAGGGTTTGTTGTGAATGAACAACAAAGTCGAATAAACTTTGAAAAAATCGAAAGAAACTTAAGAAATCAAAAAGCTATTGAAACAAATATCCCTAATTTACAATCCATTGCACCCGTCGTAGTTATAATAGTTAACTAGATTTCCTTTTCTATTTAAGAAAATTTCCTTAATTCATTACGGATGAGCGAGGCCGCGAGGGCATGTTTTTAGCCCTTTGGATCTCAAATAAAATGGAAAATATCAAGGATGTTGACATATTTTCAACCGACGGATCTGTGCATTTTTTTTTCTTTGTTTTTTCTCTGGGAAACCCTAAAAAGTTTTGAAATCCCTAAACGGTAACCAACCCCCAAAAAATGTTGGACTTCACCGACAGGAGAACGATTGGTAGTCGTGATCGAAAATAAGAATTTTCCGATCTAGCAAAACAACTGAATTAATAATATGATTACAGGTCATGTGGAATCAGAATAAAATAAAAATAATTTGCTAGAGATTCCAACAAAAATGTGGGAATGTCAGAAACGAAACACATGGAGAAAAAGACACACAGCGGTGATTATTACATTCTTTGATTCCAATCTTTAAGATTCCAATCACTTTCTTCGTTTTCTGTATGCATTTTGTGTTAGCTAATCTTATTAATGTCTTGATTCCAATCATGAATACAATTATATAACAAGAAGACAATAATATATTTATAAAAATACGAACATTTAGTTGAACTGATGAAAGGGCACAATAATATTAAATTTGGAAATTAATCCCTGTTTTCAGAACTTATACAATTATTTTCATTTATTTATAAACAAATTAATCTCGATATTTTCCATTAACCAAATTTACAATCGAATTGTGACCACATTGCTTCACTAGAAGCTTTAACCACAATGTGACCCAAGGATGAAGTAAAGTATCACCTAAAAACACTCATTTGGTTCATACATTACCAGAACAATCATCCGATCACTTTAACCACAATGAAAACAAATCCATCTTTACCATAAGGGTGAAAATGATTTGTCTCTTAAACGACATTATTACAGGGAGAAGGTTCTTCAGAGCTTTCCCAAGCATTGGCTTCATGCTTCTCAGGGGTTTCTTCTTCTGCGGTGGCATTGGCTCCATGCTGTCTGGGACAAGAAGAAGGTTGTTGAGAGATTCGGCTTGTTTCATCATCAAACAAGTGTGCGCCTCTATCTAAAAGCAATAGAGGCCATTCAGGGCATTCTGGTTTGTTGATGTCGAGAGTCGGAGTGACTAAGAGAAGATCGTAATGCATGTTAGCCAAATTTTGAAGCATATCCGTGTAGTAGGCGTCATCATTGAACTGATCGGAGAATATGAGCAAACTAGCTTCATAATGCCTGACCAACGGAGGAGAGTCCCTTTTCCATAAATATATGTCATTTAACATTCTCACACGTCTTGAGGCTTTATCCCCTCCGGGAAGAAAATGGATTCTGGAAAGCCACGTCTTGTCACCACCCAGTAACCTCTTGTCATCATCATCAAGATAGGCCCATATTGTAATGTTATCACTAAACTCCCTTGCCACAAGAGCTGATGAGATAGAGTTGTAGATCTCATCAGGAGTGGAACCAAGAGGGAATGGGCAAGCCACAGCATCCCAGAAGACGGCTGTCCTAGCCCCTTTGACGGTTGGGATACGCTCGGAGAAATCTACAGTCTTGGAGACATCTTCTTTGATCTCTACATACTTTTCTGCGGACATATCATACTCATACATACAATGACGATAGAAATCTTTGAATCTTGGCTTTCCTCCCCCTAAAAGTCGTGAGTTCTCAAGCAGAAAGTCTACACTAAAGAGAAATTCTTCATCAGGCGGTGGAGGTGGCACTACTAGGACAACATTGTGACGCCTAGATTTCAAACACTGGAGAACCCTATGCAACTCCCTTTTTGGTTTTGCGATTACACAAATATTTACTGGTCCTGGTCCAATCATTGATGCCAGACGAATCATATACAAAGTGATGGCCGGCACTTTGTAAGCAAAAGCCGAATAAGAAACACCTATAAACAACAGAGAAACAACTCTCAGATTACATATATAGATAATTAAAGCAGAAACTATGAGCAAAAGAGAGAGTGTTGTTGTGAGGAATTTTACCTTGGACTAAGCCGTTGATTATTTCATCCTCTTTTTTGTCGCAGTTGAGTTTCTCAGAATACAGATTCACGTCCATATACCCATAACGAAAGCCCATTAAATCAAGAGCTTTTAAGATATCAGCAAAAACAGGATCAAGAGCATCGGTAGCATCAACAGGGATTGGGTAGTCATCTATGTTCCAGAACACGAGTGTCTGCTTCAAGGACACAAAATCGATGATATTGTCTTCCCCCATGGTTCTACGAAGATGACGATGAGAGTTGGAGACTTTCTCTAGCTAAGTTAGGGTTTGTTGTGAATGAACAACAAAGTCGAATAAACTTTGAAAAAATCAAAAGAAACTATTGAAACAAATATCCGTAGTTCACTAGTTTGTATATGGATGAATAAATAATTTACGATCCACTGCACCCGTACTTATAATAGTTTCAAAACTAAATTTCCTTTTCTGTTTAAGAAAATTTCCTTTTCTATTTAAGCAAATTTCCTTAATTCATTACGGATGAGAGAGAAATGTTTTTAGCCCTTTGGATCTCAAATAAAAAGGAAAATATCAAGGGTATCCCCTATATATAATTTGAGAATCATTTAAAAAGTTGTAACCTTAAATTTGTAAGAATTAAAAATAACTCCAATTCTACGTGGCATAGCTCTTTGGCTTCTATTTCAAATCTCAAGCATTCTAGAGCATGTGATATAATGTATAGTTTAAAAATTAGATTCTCTAGCAAGATAATATTTCGTAGGTTATAGTCGGGCGCATATATCAAATATTTATTGTTTCGCATGTTTTCCTTAAACAAAACCTACGGAATTACCTAATGTGATTAAAATATATATGACAATTAATGTTTTTAAACAATAAAGATTTGATAACAATCTGTATACTTTTTTCATTTTTTTATTTCTTTATTATTAAAATAAATTACACAATTACATTAATCATATAATAAAAATCTAGATTTTTTTTTTGTGTATGTTGTATTTCGAATTTTTCAAAATGAGTATAAATTACTAAAATTGTTAAAAGTCCCACATAAACTTTTAAGATCAAAGTTTTAATTTTTTTTTCTATACTAAAATATAATGATTATAAGACCATATGAAGAAATAATTTTAGTTTATATATATTTCCTATCATTTTAATTAAACTATACATCGTATGAAAATATATACTTATATTTTGATTTTTGCCTTGAACATATATTGAAAAGTTAATATTTTAATTTTGAAATATGTCATTGTTTTTTTAAATGATTATAAATTATTGAAACTACTAAACATCTCACATTAAAAAAAAGTCGTTGGTGTAAAGTTTCGTTACACAAATATGCAAATAATCATAAAATCATATGAGTAGAAACCTCATTTAATAAATATACATATTAAAAGTGTGCTATATTACTATGTTTATATCATTTAAATTTAATTATATATCATATACAATATATAAGATTGATTATTTTGATTTATTTACCCTAATTGTGAATAAACAAGAGTAATAGTTAAATTTATATGTATACGTCAATTTATTACATAATAGTAACTGATTTCTTAGTTATTTAATATATATATTTATTATTTTATTATTTATAATATGCAAAAAAATATAAAATAAATATAAAATACTTATTGTGCATAAAGTGCAGATCTTAGCCTAAGTATGTATCTCTTTAATTATTTTAAATCTTAAGTATTTACTAAATTTCAGGTCAAAACAAACAAACGAAATGAGAATAAAATTCAAAATGAATATTTATATCGAGTAATAACCAAAATATAAAAAAACATAGCAAGAGAAAAATAGAAGATAAATAGGATTGACACGTGAACGTAAACTTCTCATAACCATAATTAATTTTTAAATTTTTAAATCATGATATAAAATTAAGTTAATTTTTTTTTTTTTAAATCATAATGGTTATGTTAAATCATGACCATAATTAATTTTAAATTGTTTATTTGTATTGGAAAAATTGAAAATATTGTTTTTAAAAATAATTTAAAATTTAACATAATTTTTTATAAAATTATTTTTAAAAATAATACTTTGTAAAAAATATAATTTTCTAATATTATTAGACAAATAAATAAATTATATTAAATTAGTTTTGAAACTTTATATATTTTAAATGCAAATATTTTACTAATTGCCACTACAAGAAAAGAGTTGTCTAGCATCAATTATTTTATTTTTTTGCATTACTTATAACTGATGTAAAAGAATTGTGCATCATTTATATAAATGACTCTGAAAGTGATGATGCAAATAATTTGTATCATTTTATGAAAAACTGATGTAAGAATTCTAAATATTTTCATCAGTTAGTATAAATGATGTCAATATAAATCGGTTATATGAAATGATATTAACAACTACATCAGTTTTCTTAAATGATTTTATTTTTAACATCGATTAAAATAATTGATTTTAACTATTTATATCATTTCTTAATAATTGATACTAAATGAATATTATATTTTAAAATTATTTGAATAATTATATCAATATAATTATTGGTTTAAAATATTATTTTTGCCGTATATATTTTTTTCTAAACAACAATACAAGAGATAAAAATATCAATAAATCAATTAATACAATATTTTTCATTAACAATGTTTTACATTTCCAATGAAAATAGTCTAGAAATAAAAATAATATAGAGAGAAGTCTAACAGAAACAAAGATGAATACAAAGAAAATTGCAAAAATAATTAAAGAAATTTGCCATGAAAGCTTCTACAATCAGGATTATGCTGAACAATCTCTATTCGTGGCAAAGTTAATTCCCTTAGACTTGTACTCTTCACCCACATATCCAATCAACATTGTCTACTCATATACCTCTTGACGCTCCTGATCCTAGCAAAGAAGGATCATTAAACCATAAACAAAAGTTATCAAAACGTTTATTTTTCCAAAATTTTGAGGACGATGAGAAAAAAAAAGGAAAAGGAAATAATACCTCTCATAAATTTCGAATCCTTGATGATAAAAAAAAATAAATCATCATCTTCATGACTTTTATAAATGCTTTATTCTTGTTGATCTTTTGGTTTTAGTCAAATAATTCAACCCAGAACGATATATAAACTGTTAAGAGAAGTTAAAGAAATTGAAAGCGTGAGAGGAAGATGAAGATCTTAACCAAAAAAAGAGAATATGTCTTAGTTTATTAAAAACCACCGAAATATTCCCTACGAGAGTGATCTCTTTTCTTTTGTAGTTTATTTTATTTTTAAAATCTATTGGTTCAAGACTTCAAGTAGTTGGCTTGTGATTGATAGTGGTTCCTCTATTTTGGGGATTGTAACTTATCACCTTATAACTTATAACATAACGATATATATATTTTAACTGTTTAATTGATGTAGTGTAAAATTCATTTTTTGTAGACGGTGATTAAAAAAAATGTTAGTTGTTTTTAACTATAATTAATTTTCAAATTTTGAAACAAAATAAGAGTAAATATCCCAAATATAAGGTAATCAACCGAACAAAAAATACATTAGTTTTAACTAAAATTAAGTTAGTATCATTTCATTAGTGATGTCAAATGATTTCCTCTTTTATTTACGTAATCTTAACTTGTATCATTTCTTTAAGTAATGTTAATGAAAATTAGAAAATGTATCAATTATATAACTGATGTAAACTCATATTTATATCAATTGTTTAAAAGTGATGTAAGTTAGTATATATTTATATCAATTTCGTTGAAGCGATGCTAATAATTTAATAATAACATCAATTACTATAACTGATGTTAAACACACATTATTTATACCATTTACAAATAAGTGATTTAAACTAAAATCATTTATTTTTCGGATACTATTTATGTGATGTAATATGATCTTTTTTTGTAGTGTGCGTCTTAAAAAAACATTAGGGAACTTGCTAATACTCTATCAATCAAGCCTAGTAACACTCCATTTATTTTTCATCATTCGAACACTTAAAAGTGAAAAAATATATGAAATCAGATCCATTAAATTATAAGATTTGATCTACATTTCTAATTAAAATTGTTTCGGATCCTACGTATAGATAATTATATAAAAATTCTAAAATTCTAAAATTTCAAATATATACAAAAACAATCATATGTAAATTTTAAATTTTTTAATATTAAAATTTATTATTTTAATTACATATATTCATCCGACGGATCTGTGCATTCTTTTCTCTTTTTTTTTTTTTTGGGAAACCCTAAAGAGTTTTGAAATCCCCTATCCAAGCATGCATTCGTAATCCTCCTCATTATCAGAATCTATATCACTGCTTCTAGCCCTTCCTCCACCTAAAAGTTGTTCATTATCAAGCATAGATTCTACACAAAAGATGCATTCTTTACAGGCGGCTCTTTTACTAGAACAAACTCCTCGATTTCAACCACTTCAAGAACCTTATGTAACTCCGTTTTTTTTTTGGTTTTACAATTTCCGCTACATTTACACGTCTTAGTCCAGTATTTTCTGCGAAAACAAGCATATATAAAAACTCATATCCAGAGAAATGATTCGTATTTCACATCTGAGTCCGCAAATTAGGCATGTCGTTCTCTAATTTTTTTTACCATCATTTGAATATTTTTTCAATAAACCAATAAATAAGCTAAAATATTCTCGTGTCTATACCAAACTTGAACCCTCTATGTCTCATCAAACGTGTCACACAAGCTACCTAGAAGAGGGTTTGCATATGATAAATAGCTTCTAATCTTTGCCGATGTATTCTTTTATCTCAAGTCGATGCCTGCAAATAACTCACAAAAAATACAGCATCTCCACATATACCAGGAAACCACTCGACGCTGGCCATTCATTAGAATTTATCAGATACATCATATTTTTTAGTAATTTGATTTTTAGAAAACTCTTACATAAGAGAGCTTTAATTATTAATCGATTAATGTAAAATACAAGAAGATATAAAACTTTTCCACAATAACATCGACCTCACCAGTGGAAACGTTCATATATATCTTGAAAAGACACAGAGAAACATCAAATAAGTACACATAATATTGTTTATGAAGGAGGTCCACTTAATGGCGATGGTTCTCTAGGGCTTGGCATCTCCATCAAAGCCGCGTTGGAGGAATCCAACGGATGAGAGATGAGAAACATCGCTCCATGAATCAATGATCCATTTCTCGTCACTGAAGCGAACAACATTCACCGAAGCATTAAGGAGTTTCCCAGCAGAGGAAGCTTGCGTGATGCTCATGTAAATTGCCCTCAACACTCCTCCATGAGTCACCACTATCACTCTCTCACCTTCATTTCCACACATGCACATATATTTACACGAGAGAATAGTTGCAACTTTGTAACTATGTAAACATATTTTTATAGTATTAGTACCTTTGTGTTTCTTTGCAATTTGCTTAAGCGCATTCATAGATCTCTCACAAAGTTGGTCAAAGCTCTCTCCTCCTCCCTTTAAATTTATATAATACACATGCGTTAAAAATAAGACCATATATTAAATATAAGATATATTTAAGCATGTGAATATATGAGAAAGGAATGATAAAATATTAGTGTAAATGAAGCTTACAGGAATCTCGAGGTCATTTTGGGAAGAAAAGAAAGCAGAGTAAGCTTCAGGTTCTTTCTCTGCTCCCTCTTTCCAATATAACCCTTGAAGACTACCCACATGCCTCTCCTTTAATTCAGGCACTTCAGTCACCTGTAAAAAAAATATAATTACAACTCCTAAAACTTTGGAAACCATTACTGAAAAATGTTTTGTATTTTTTTAATAAAATAACTAACATGTAGAACTCTATTGAATTTCTTCATTTTCTATTGTTAATAATTTCGCACTCATGTTATATATATGGTTTTCTTAAACAAAGTAGAATGCAGATAGAGATAATTTTACAGACCTTGGAACAAAAACAAGTTTCCGCGATTTTAAGAGCAGTGTCTTTAGCTCGCTTGAGGTCTGATGAATATATAGCTATGGGTCTTTCCTCTTTTCCCAATCTCTCAGCGATCTAATGATTGTTTATACAAAAGAGAAATGATCATGCATGTCTTATGTATATAGAAGGAGAAAAAGAAGCTGAAAGGGATTTGATCTTAACTGCAACAGCCTGCTTTTGTCCAATTTCGTTAAGATCCGATTCAATTTGTCCCTGCATTCAATTTTTTATATGTAAAATGTGTTTATGTTATGTACATGCAGTATATATCATTATATCACATAATGGTCACAATTTATATATATATATATATATATATATATATATATCACATATAATGTATAAAATTCCATGCATAGATACCTGGATTCTTCCAGCAGCATTCCAAGTGGTTTCTCCATGGCGAACAAGAACAATCTCAGTCACTTCGCTTTTAACGTTGACGTCGTCACCCCACTTGTACTCCTTTGATGCATCGATACTACATTTTTATAAGTTCTCTATTAGTCACAATATGTTACATATGTATAACATATAATGCATAGAATTAACATATATGCAAGTATCCGACCGAACTCCCACATAAAATATTCATGATCAGTGCTCTGAAAATGTGTTGTTTAGTTATGGAGTTTTCATCTTAATTAGGGGAACGTTGGAAATATATAGCTAGTACTACTAAATAATAATTTTCTCAATGAAGATATAACGCTGAAAATAGTTAATCGAATAGCAGAAATTTGTAATATAAACGTTAGTGTATGTTATGAATAGTGAGTAAGTGGTGAAATAATGATCTGAAATTAAATATATAACGTTTTCAATAAAAAAGAAAAAAAAATATAAATAAAACATACCATTCATGACCCATGATATTGCGAGGGGCAGGTTATTGGCTTTTGTCACAGAAGAAGAATAGAGTGGAGAAAAGAGTACTGAGAGGAAGATGTGTTTGTACTTATGATAAGTCGATGTGTGATCTCTGCTTTTATAACCTCATTTCCCTGAGGAAAGAAAAAAAGAAGTTTTTTGGTTTCTAATTCTTTTAATTATACTTAGAGGGATCAAATAATGAAAATAGTTAAAATTGTGGCAGCTCATCGATTGATAATGTTGGCATATTTCTTAATTACTAAAATACTTATTTATATCGTTATATAGAGAAATCATTTGGTGGGTATAGGGATTGTAACCACGTGATGTCAATATTTCAATTATTATTTCAGATCGGATCCTTTACAGAATCAAGGAAAATACGTAGGGAATCGTCGGTAGTACATGTTATAATTTTGTTACTCAAAATTTAGAGTAGCCAATAAAAAACTAATTATGGATATTTATTTTTACACAGGATTTTATTGAATAAATTAATTAATTAAATATTTGTTTACAAAAGAAACTACTGAGATAACCGCCAGAATAAGAAACACCAACTACAACTCTAGAGCTGGCAATGAACTTGGACACCAATATGTATGGAGATTCCATGAATCTGATATGCGGACGACATATAAAAATGTACAGAAGAAATTCAAGTGTCTTTTTCATCATGTATGTAATATAAATAAACTACTCAGTGAACAAAAAAAATGAAATAAACTACTCCGTCATACATTTGTAGTATTTATATCTTATATATTAAAACAGAAGTCATAACTTGACTTCATGTGTGATTTTTTTTAAAAATGGAATATTACTAGAATATCATGTTACATTAACTCTCTAATAATCTTATCATTCTTATATCTTATGAAAAATCATATCTATAATAACAAAGATACACTTAACAATTTGGTTTTGGTAAATTACCTCACACCTTCCAACTTAGTCACGTAAAATATGTCGATAGATATAAGTTTAGGAATCTTCTATTATTTATAAGGAAATATGTCAATAATAGTTAAATGCATCCACAATATATTAACAAAAATCTCAGATTTGTAATATGGAATATTTATATACCCTAGCAAAATTTACACGATATATATACTAAATAAATTTATTTCGATTTTAAATTTTAAAATTATATTGTTATAAAAAATAAATTTTTGAAAAAATTCTTTTTTAATCAAATTCTTTATAATATTAATTTATGAAGCTATAAGTTTACTTTTAACAAATATTTCTTCGAAGTTTATATTATCTTTGCAAATTAAAGTATACTAATATTTATTCAAGCTCTATTTATATTATTTTATCTAAACATGAAATACTAATCTAACAAACAATAAAATATACAAGAAGAAACAAACACATGTTTGAAAAACATGTATATTATAGAAAATTTGAAACAATCTATTTGATTAAAACACGTATTATATAATATTATTATGTAAAACATTTACTATACATATCGTAAATATGTAATTACTATAATATATACCAATTTACAAGTGAAAACAAAATATTTATATAACATAACTATAAACGAAACAAACACCCGCGCGGTTGCGCGGGTCAAAATCTAGTATCTTATATATTAAAACAGAAGTCATGACTTAACTTCATGTGTGATTTTTTTAAAAATGGACTATTACTAAAAAGTCATGTTATATTAACTTTCTAATAATCTTATCATTATTATATCTTATGAAAAATCATATCGATAGTAACAAATATACGCTTAACAATTTTGTTTTGGTAAATTATTCCACACCTTCCAACTTAGTCACGCAAAATATGTCAATAGATATAAATTTAGGAATCTTCTATTATTTATAAGGAAATATGTCAATAATAGTTAAATGCATCCACAATATATTAACAAAAATCTCATATTCGTAATATGAAATATTTATATACCCTAACAAAGTTTACACGCTATATATACTAGATAAATTTATTTCGATGTAAATTTTTAAAATTATATTGTTTAAAAAAAAAAGAAATTGTTTAAAAAATTCCTTTTTAATAAAACTCTTTATAATATTAATTTATGAAGCTATAAATTTAGTTTTTAGCAAAAAATTCTTCGAAGTTTATATTATCTTTGCAAATTAAAGTATACTAATATTTAATTAAGATCTATTCCTATTACTTTATCTAAAAATGAAATACTAATCTAACAAACAATAAAATATAGAAGAAGAAAAAAAACACATGTTTGAAAAACATGTATGATATAGAAAATTTGAAACAATCTATTTGATTAAAACACATATTATATAATATTATTATGTTTGAAAAACATTTACTATACATATCGTAAATATGTGATTACTATGATATACATGGTCGGATTTGGACACAGCCGGACGAAACATTTGCTTAGGCCCCCAAAATTTTTAGAAATTTTTAAACTAAGCATAAGCCTTTAAACATTGGCCTTGGCCCCCAATAATTTTAGATTTCTTAAGAAATGTTTTAATCCCCCAAGATCTCAACTCCAACCCTGATGATATAAAATTGAAGACAAAATGTTTATATAACTAACTATAAACGAAAACAAACACCCGCGCGGTTGCGCGGATCAAAATCTAGTAGCTTTTAAAACAAAAGAAATAACCTAGGCACCTAGCTAGAACCAATAATGTTCGTTAAAACACAGGATGTGGAACCGTGACAGAAAAATAATAATTAGGTTTACTTCCTCACGATGAGGATCGGTGGTAGTATAGCATCTTGCCACATGGAAAAAATAAATTTCTTTTTTTGGAGGAAATGATTTTGTTTTTTATACATATATCGCCATATTTTCTGTAATCTGTGAATATTTGCCATGTTTAATCGTTTGTGACTTTGTGATATGATCCAGAAATGGATTACTTCCAAGCACCGTGAGATTTGGAGGCGTAAGGCAAGTTTTAATAACATTTTTTGAAACTAAAGAATAAATTTATTTACAATTATAATAAAAAAAATTGAAATACAATCATGTTAACTATGAACAGAAAAACATAACATGTTAACCAATTCACCAAATACATGTACAAAGACTAAAATGTTATGAGAAAAAAATTATGAATTAGATATATCTTACCTACAAACTGGAGTTAGAAATATATTTAGATGGAGCTAGAATGATATTTATGTGAAAAGAAAAGTTGAAATATAGGGAAGGGGGGAGTGGTTTCTTCGAACTCATGTAATGAGTGTATGTGAACAAACTTTAAACCACTACATTAGGAATAATTTTTGACATAGTAGGCCCTAAATAAAATTATATTAGTTGGGAGTCTAAGAGCAAGTCCAACAATGATTCTTAGTTAGAATCTCTTAGAAAAAAATATTGTAAAACTATATAGGATCCATGATTAATAGGTTTTTGTGCAAGTTGAAGCTCTTAAATTTCTTCCCTAAAGATTCAATTCCGTGAATATGTTAACTATTTACGGGTTCCACTAACATGTGATACCCCATGATTGATTATATATATATATATATATATTTTTAAATCCAAAAAAGAAAATAATTAAAAATAAAAAATATTTTTTAAGGATTCCAATGGTGGTATTACCATAGGAAATGCCCTATGACAAATGTATTTTTCAATGCAATGTAGGCACGCTTCTGTTTCCAAGGTTCGACATTGTTCAAAACCTATATTTCATATTTCACTATTGAATTCTCCGATATGATGAAAATATGGGGACCTTAAAAAAAAATTTGGGGACCTTAAAACATTTCGTATGTACTCTAATAAAATATTTTCTCATAATTTAGAAGTAATGTCTATATAAAAACCTCCAAAATTTTTAGGAATCAAAACTAGTGTTTCATTGTACTGTATCCATATCATCCAACCCTGCTCTTCTTCCACATAGTTTATAGTTTCGACTCAGTGATAATACCTATACAATTTGATTATTTCATATGAATCCATAGATATTGAATATTTTAGTGATTTACGTTTTATCCTCTATATATTAATTGAGAAACATTTGAAAAGATGTAACCTCAAGTTTGTAATAATTAAAAAGTAACCTTGCTTAGTTGTCAATCAATTAGCATACCAATTAAACTGACGTGGCAGCTTTAAGTTCAATTGAAATTTGCTAGGGAAAAATAATTAGAGACGCATATAACGCATGTAACATAGTTTATATATATATATATATATATATATATATATATATATATATATATATATATATATATATATATATATATATCGTACGCATGTAATGGAAGAAAAGGAAAATATACAATTTGATAACGATTTGCATATATCAATTATAATAACTTCATTCCTTTTAATTTATGGAAGTGTATATGTAAAATGGAAATTACTTTGTGACCAAGTACATACTTAATGGTAAAGGCAAAAACGTTTATTATATGAATATATCTTTTGATCATTTTGACAAAACAATGAACGATATAAAGAGGCCCAATCTATTATTTATAAACGTTTAAAGCTTAAACGTTTACTATATGAACGTTTATTAAATTATTATATGAACGTTTATTATAAACGTTTATTATAATAGTTTATATATAATAATTATTATAAGGCAAGAACGTTTATTATATGAATATATCTTTTGATCATTTTGATCAATAGTTTAACATTTTTATTATAAAAAGATACACATGATTATAAAACCATATGAGTAAAAAGTATCATTCAATAATAAAAAAAAAATTATATATATATATTAAACTATATACCATATAAGATTACATACTTATTTTAATTTCAAAAATTTCAATGAATTTTCAAGAACATTTATAAATTATAAACGTATAAAAATTTTCACATTGAAATTTTTTGTTATCAATGATTTAAATATATTAGTTCTTTCTAAAAATTTTCTATTTTTTAAAGATATTAACACAATCGATAATATGATTATTTTTGGTATATACCATAAAAACCGAATGTATGTGATTTTATAAAAACCGTAAGATTTGGATATGGTTTGATTTATAATCGATTAAACTGAAACATGTAAATATGTATATCTATTTGTTACATAAGTTGAACTATAATTATGATTTGTAAATCACTTGAAATATAATTAACTAACAATTTAATGCAACTGAGGCTTCTTATTTTCTTCGTCTTTTTTAATCTTTTTTTTTCTTTTTTTTAATAAAAACTAAACTGAAGTAAAAATTATAAATTTGATGGACAACAATTAGTTGAAATTCTTTACAATTTTTTTTAATCTTTAAACAAACAGAGTTGTGTTCAATCGAAGACATATTAATTTGATGAACACTAAATATGGAAGAATATAAAAACTTTTCTTTCATGCTTCTGTTTTGTTTTTATTTTTTATTTTTCTTTTCAAAATTTAGAGATTTGATATTAATTCTAGATTTGATCATTTTATTAGATCATAGAAGCCTTTTTTTGTTTTTAATTCTTTTAGTTAAATATATAATATATTTTTTTAGTAAATGACTTTTTGACAATATGACTCTAAATATGATCATATTATTTATTTTATAATATGTAATATGATTTCAAACTAAATAATGATNAAACCAATATATAAACCAAATCAAACTGAAGTAAATATGGATTTAGAATAGTAGTTATATTTTAATAACCAAAATACGGAAACCCGATATCCAGATTGAACATTCTTAATCTAGATGAAACCGAACTTTTGTTTCATTTTCCAAAACATAATAAAAATAATAATTTCATCCCGCGCAAGGCGCGGGTCTTATCCTAGTTTTATAATTATTTTAAGATGATTGAGATGTTTGTAAACTAATATTTACGTGCGCAAATAAAGTGGTAAGAAAATGCAATAATATTTTTGTTCACAAAAATCAAATGCAGTCAAACTCTCTAGCTTATTACTATGAAGTCAAGAAAAGGTGATCGAAAATAAGAATATCCCGACAAATGTTGGAGTTCACCGACAGGAGAACGATTGATTATCGTGATCGAAAATAAGAATTTCCCGATCTAGCAAAACAACTGAATTAATTTGATTACAGGTCATGTGGAATCAGAATAAAATAAAAATAATTTTTCAGAGATTCCAACAAATGTGGCAATGTCAGAAACGAAACACATGGAGAAAAAGACATATTGCCAGCGTTTCTTGCACTCTTTGATTCCAATTATCTTTAAGGATTCCAATCACTTTTCTCGTTTTCTAATATGCATTTTGTGTTAGTTAATCTGAGTGATGTCTTGATTCCAATCATGCATACATTAATATAACAAGAAGATCAAAAATATATTTATAAAAATTCTAACATTTAGTTGAACTGAAAGGGCACAATAATATTAAATTTGGAAATCAACTCGTGTTTTCAAAAATTTATAATTATTTTCATTGATTTATAAAAGATTTAATACAAATTAACCACGTTAAGAATTATTATTTATAATGAATATATCTTCACACCTATACCAATAATTGAGAAATTCGGTTTTGGTGACCGCAACCCTTTAACCAAAATAAAAATATGAACAAAATTCAACTCTTGAACAAAAAAAAAGAAACACATTTCTTATGGATTTTAATTGCTTAATAACTCAATCATCACCAGGAAATCACATTTTTATAGACTTGAGCGGCCATGAGGTAAAGTCTCCATATGTGAATCATTTGTAGAAAAAGTAGAAACCCTCATGCAGTAATAATAAAAGTAAAGGAGCCTGGTGCTTTTACACACTCTCAAAGAGTGCATTTTCTTGTGTAGGGTTGTTGTCCGTTTCTTCTGTAATAAGTTGCTAAGCAACATGTAAACTTTCGAAAAGGTATGAAATTTAACATGATTACCAAAAAAAAAAAAAAAAAAAAAAAAAGAGTGCATTTTCAGAACCGGACGTGAGATTACCATTGCATGTACTCTTTTACTTCGCCTCAGTCCTGGAGTCAACTCTCTAAACAAAAATCTCAAGAGCTTAGCCAACTAGGTTATGGTCATGTGTATGTTGTTACTTTTGGCATAGAGATGTGTTACTTAGGGCTTGAAATTAGCGGGTTCAAAAACTAAACGAACTTAACAAGTTTGGCAGAAGCTTGAAGAAGAGAACCGGGGATTTTTCTAGGCATATTATTGGAGACTCATGGTCAAGCAACAGAGTGGAATATAACAAGTTACTCTTAAGATGCTATATTGGTTGAATACAACAGGGAAGTAATGAGATATGAATAGTTTAAAACTGGAACTGAGTTATATAAAATTTGATGTCAATGTGAGCTTGTAAGCTTGGTAACCGCACAAGGGTGTTTTTCAAATTACAGGAGACAACGAGAGCTTGGGAGTTGGGTCATATATGAAGGCTTCAGTTAATCTCATGCAGACCCGTTTCTAGGCATGTGTCCAAGGAACATTTGCACATGGCCCATAATATTTTTGGAAATTTTAGCTAGGATTTAGGGTCCTCTGCAAAAACATTTAGACCAACTCCATTGCAAGGTTTTTAAGGAGGTTCATAAGAAAAAACAATTAAAATAATGATGGGTCTCATGGCATAGTTAAGGATTTGGTTACAAAGTGCCTTATTTAAGAGGCAATTCTTAAGCCAAACGCGGGTCTCACTGGCACGTGGCGGCCCACAATTGATCTAACTTTTTCGTTTTTTTTTTTTAAATTCGACCGAAAAAAATTATTAAAATAACAAAAAGATAAATATTTGGAAATCGAACCAGGAGTTCAGCAATGAAACTGCTCTTAAAGCCTATTTTTATAGATTACATGTATTATTTTTATAAATTGTACAGGACCCGATAGATGAGTGAGACGGGATTACCATGGTCAGTGTACATAGACTTGCATCGAAAGCTAATTTCGATGTATGATGTAAGTTATTTGTTCTTTTGTGTAGAGAGTTTTGGTTTTAGTTATAGACCATTAGAAGCAGAGTTTTGATTGTCATTGTATGTTGTTAGATTTTTATTTGAACTTCTGTATAGAACTTGTAAGACCCATAAGTAGGGTTCAGATTAACTTGAATGTAGTCTGTAAAACTTTTTGTTATTGATTTTTTTCTTTTTAGGTAAGTAGGTCGTATAGGGCAAGTATCAACATAGTATAATAATGACCACCTTTTAATTTACATTATTAGTATAACAATAATCTTTCAATACATACTAACAACACACGCAGCACATGAAGTTTGAGATTGAGCTACTATATAGTCCTGCAAATCTTACAATACATACATTCACCACACGTCCACACACATAGTATAGGAGGTTTAGACTGAGCTACCACATAGGCCTGCAATCTCTCTCGGTAATAATATTAAAGCCACTAATAGATACATAAGGAAGATCTCGACACACTGTAGTGTTCTTTTTTGACTTAGAAACACATTTCACAAATCCAGCAGCAGCATAGTGCAGCGAGACTGCATATGAAGAAGCAAATAAAAGAAAAAACATGCACAAGTGTTAGTGCTAGCAAAACAGAAACAGAGTACTTAATGTGTTTTCTAGTTGAGTTCTTGAACTTTTTCATGCAGTTATGAATTATGATATGTGCTTATTAGCTACAAGAAACCCTTTAAACTTATATTTTGTAGTTTCGGTTTCTTTTAAAAATTAGATGATTTTGTTTGCTACTTATAGCTTTTAGCCTTTTACCATCCTTCAATGAAGCCTCTGTCTCCTTTCTGCTTTGACTCGAAGAACCTTGGATTCTTCTTCTTGTTCTTCGTCTCGTCTTGTCCTGGTTGGTCAGATACATCAACTTTTTCTGCAGCTGGATATCCTGTCTAGAGACGTAAGTATACTACAAATCTTCTACTTTGCTTCAAAAAACATGTTTGATTCGTTACTATCCTTAAACGAACAGGAAACCACTTAGATAAATTCTGACCTCGTGGAAGATGGTGATCCTCTGCGGTTCCCATGTCTTTCTGCATCTTTTCTTACAGAAGAAACTTTTCTCTTTGTGTTGGCTCTTTGATCAGTTCACAAGTGGAAACACACAAAAGGAGATTTTGATTGTGTGATTCTTGGTTTGGATACAAGATAAAATAGTTTTGTGAGGATGCTTCTCATTATATAAGCTATGATTAATTGTGGCAGTGGCAGATGAAATATTCTTGTTTAGTTTTTTTTTTTATCTCTCGACTTTCGGCTTTATTCGTTTATATCTTTATACCTTCCTTCACGAAGGGGCTACTCCAGAAACTTAGTTTTTTAAATGTGAAAAGAAGACTTTTACTTGTCTTTTTGGGGTTCTTTACAATGCGTTTATACATGTCTGTTTTTCTTGGCTTCTCTTTGACCCATTATTGTTGGAGATTATTCTAATCACAATCCCAAATCTTGCAAGTTTTGGCAAGAAGATCATTCAAACAAAGAAGAAGAAGACGAAAAGAGTGCGTACGCAACAGAGATGTGATGTACTTAGAAAAATTATCATGAAATTCTTCTTAATATTACTGTTCCAAAATATTTGTTATCAAAACTAATTTTTAATAAATAATAACAATATTTATTTTTAATTATTTATTTATTGTTTATTTTTTGCCTTTACTGAAATTAGTTTCTAAATCTACCATCAATAAGAACAACAAGACCACATTCACAGAGATATGATGCACTGCACCCAACACGAGTGTTTGGTGGACACCCCGATTGATCAGAGGTGCAATCTCTATAATATTATTTGAGAAGTCACTTTCTTATGTGTCGCGCTCACGTTAACTCTCACGCTGGTTGATTACTATGATATCCTTAATGAATTAAAAAAATACATTTAAATATTATTATTTCCTTTTATTTTTTTTCCAAATAACAATATAAAATAAAAAGGAAACATGTATAAAGTTTACAAAACTCTTTAAAAACGAAAAATATAAGTATATATAAATATGGTTTCATAAAAATGGAAAGTTCACAAAATAGTAATATTTTATTTAAATATATTTTAAATAACATAAAATATAATTTTGAAGTAATAAAATACTTTATAACTATATCTTCTTAGATGAAAAACAATATTTGTATATAATGTGATTCCATAAAAAAAGTTCACACAACTAATCTTTATATTAGAAAAAGAGATATTTTTTTTTAAAAAAATAATAGTTTTAAACAATAAATATATAGATTTTCAAAGTATTTGTTTTTGTATATATCTATTTTATTAGATGATTACATAAAATAATTAAGTAACATAAAATGATATATGTTTAATTGACAAAAAAAATATAATTAGTATTCTTGAAATATATATATTTTTATTTTAGTATATTTTTGATTATAATATCTTACAGTTACAGAAAAAAATATAAATTCTGTTTACTTATATAATATAATTTCTCAAAAACAATACCATTTTTACTGCATATTTTAAAAGATATTAAAAACAAAACTAAAAATGAATTTTAATAATAAATATTTTTTGATCAAATAACTACAATTATCTTAAAATATCATAACATTATATAATTTATCGAAGTAGATACATTATATTTAAATAGTTAAAATTATATGTTTTCTTAATAACTCTTTTGATTTTTAATTTTCTGTTTTTATGTTTGTGGAATTTAATATAACCATAATCAAAATACATAAACAAATTAGAATCCTTATTTTTAAAATTATTTAAAATAAATTTCAGTTTATCATCTAATCTGTCTAAATATTGTAAATATTGATATGTGTTCATTAGCTTGCAAAAATTTATTAGTTACTTAAGTATGTATTTTAGAATCAGGATATACTTATATTTCTAAGATAACAACCGGCATAAATGCAAATAAGACAATTAATCAAAAATTTAATATATTTAGAATAAAAAAGATTATAGTTGAATTCAGAGAAATAGATAGAATCTAATATATCTCAATGATAACTAAATCAACAGTAAAAACAATAAAACTAACGAAATATAACATATCTAAAATTATAATAATTAAATTAATATAATATTATTAATATAAATTATATCTACAAATTATAAATTAATTTTAAATTTGAAGTAAATATCAATCAATTATTATAATATATTTATTTTAAATATTTATGTCCGTGCATAAGCACGGGAAAATCACCTAGTAGTTAGTAATGGTCTCAAAAGTAATAGTACACCGATTCAATCGTGTGAATCAACATAATGTTTTTTTTTCTTTCAAAATAGAAATCAGGCCTTGGAATTCGGGGTCCCAATCAGGCTTCGGTTTTGTTCAATCGGGTCTCATTTTTTTGGATTTATCAAAATTAACTCTATTCAAATTATTTGAAAGTTTGCTTCGGGACTGGTTCGGGTTCTATCAAGTTCGGATAGTAGTTAGTAAATCTTCAAAGAAACATCATATTTCGTTGTACTTTCGGATTCGGGTCCCAATCGGTTCTTTATTTTAAAAGTATCTGATTTGTACTTTTGTAACCAAAACATAAATAAAATTTTCGAATATAAAATACCTGATTTGTAACTTTTTGTAAGCAAAACATATGTAAAATTGATTCAAAAATAAGAAAGAAACGTCAAACGTAATGATTCAAAATAAAAAAAAAGGTGAACACAGTTATTGATGGAAAGAAAATCAAATAAATGAAAGCATAAAACGAAAACTAAATTTTTAAGAAATTATAAACATTTTTAAATAAGCTTAAATTTAAAAACTTCAACCTTCAACCGCCACTTTCATGTAACAGAAATTATTTTCGATGTTCACTAATATCTTAAAGTATTTTGGATACATATTAGGTATTGAGATCATGTTTAGTACTTTTAGGGGATTTTGAATATTTTGGGGTCTATCAGATATCTATTTAGTTTTGGATTCGGTTCAGATAATATTCATAACCCAAAATACCATAAAACAAGATCCCTTCGATATTTATGTCGGATATGGATTTATTTTTATCGGTTCGGATTCGGTTTGGATTTCGGGTTCGGTCAACCTCTAATAGAAATCTGTTTAATTGTTTATGTTGCTTTTTTTGTTTAATTGTTTATGTCTGCTCTGTTTTCTTTTCTCTGCTTTCTGTAACAGAGCTAACCTAACCGGGAAGAGAAAATTAACCCCAGAGAAATTAAGCAAACCAACTAGTCTAACCGGATGGTATCCACTCAATTTTCTTTTACTGTTGCTATCTCCAAATTAGGCTAAATGGAAACGGCATCGTATTACAAAGATAGAGCGAGTTACAAAATCCCGGTTAAGTGTGAAATTGAATATCACATAGATAGTGCGAGTTACAAAATCCCGGTTAAGTAAAAAATTGAATCCGGTTTTAGAAAACGTGGCTTTACTTGGGTTCGGATCCAGGTCCGATCCGAGTCCGGATCGTGTCATACATGTCTTGCGAGTCGCCAGGAAACATTCATCGGTTCTACACTCCTTCTTCTTCACCTCTTCAACAAAGGTAATCTTTCTCACACACACTCTCATTCTCACTCTACTACTACGTGATGTATCTTCCAATTTTTTTATAGAAAAATATCGAAAGTCTGTAACTTTTTTTCGGAATCCGTTGGTTGATTAGTAACTTTAGGATCAGGGTTTAGTTATAAACACTTTAGTAGTTTCAGAGATCTATTTGGAATCATTGATTAGGTTTCGTCTCACACCTTAAGAGTATCCTTAATGTTACTTTCTCATCTGAATCTGAATCTGTGTTTTTGTGTTCTTTTCTCTTACTGATAATCAAAAGAAACAGTTTTTTTTTTTTTGCAAATGTCTTCTTCCTCCAGGGCGAAGACAAGTTTAGGGATGACTTCAGACTTAAGTGTTCACGAAGTTCTCAACAGCTTTGATGCTATGTCCGAGATTCTCCTCCGTTTACCTCCTTACACAACCTATAAGCTGATTCTTGTCTCAAAGAGATGGCTTCAGATCATCTCGAACCCTTTCTTCCGACAAGCTTACTTAACCAAGTGGAAACCAAACTTCCATCTCATCGGTTTCTTCATCTCCAACACAATGTACCTTGGCAAACGCGTGGAAAGACTTCACCGCCCTCGCTCTGAATCCTCTCTGTCTTTACTCTCGACAAGCAGTTTAGGAGATGAAGTTGAGTCCTCTGGTGTTCTGAAGAAGCTTGGTTACTACATTGACTCTTCTTCTAACGGGTTTCTTCTCTGTGGTCGCCATCCAAAGGCGTATTACGTGTGGGATCCTATCACACGTAAGCATCGTCAGATACCGAGGCATAGAGTGCATTTCGAGGAGCTTTGTATGTCTTTGATCACTGAGGATTGTGCTGAAGATGGTTTTAGCTACAAGGTGGTTCGTGGGGAGTGTGTTTCTTATTTAGAGCAGAGTAGAAAGGTGAGAGTTGAGAGTTATTCGTCTAAAAGCGCCACGTGGAGCTACTCTGAGCTGACTTGCTCTCAGCCGATCTCTCTAACGCCGTGGAACGCAGGGAGAGTGATCAAAGGCGTGGTTTATTGGTATGCCACGGGAGGTAAAGTTGCCATCTACGACACTAACGATGAGGAGAAGAAACAGATCAGTGTGGTGAAGCTTCCAAAGACGTTTGACTATGATGAGCAGGTTCTGGGAGAATCCTCTGATGGGTGTTTGCAGTATGGTTGGAGCAATAAGTCTGTGATGGAGATATGGAAGCTGGAGAAGGTAGGCGATGTGTTGCAGTGGAGTGTTCAGATTAAGCTGAGTTTTAAAGTGATGTGGAGACAGAACCTATTGGAGTCTTCTAGATTCAACACTAAGACTAAAGAAACGCAGCTGCTTGCGTTCCTTAACCAGGATTCCGACTCGGTGTTCATCAGATGTGACTCACACATTTTCATTTGTGACACGAGGACTCAAAAGGTCGAAGAAGTTCAGTACCAAGGAAGAGGATCGTCGTTCGTGTGGGATTTCTGCAAGGTCTTGCCTTACTTTCAACTATCTTGGCCTTCTTCTTCTTCTTCTCTGTTAGAAGAAAACAACTCCTCAAGATGATGTCTCTTGAGGAAGTAAGTAGCTTATGGCAAGAATAAGTTAGTGTGTATGCCTCTGGTATCAATTTTGGTGTTGTGACCACTGGATTATAGTTTGTTTTGTTAGGGGGCTTAAGTTTTTTTGTTTGAACATTGTTGATGAACCCTCTTATGGCCATTGAGCTACTGTTTAGTCATTAAAGATTGTGCCTTTTGTAGTGACCAAGTTCTTGCGCTTGCGTACTGAATCTACATTTCGTGATTCGTGATTAATTGCGTATAGAACAGAGATTTAACCTCACAGATCCTAAGTAAATTTGACTTTGTAACTGATAGCTCTTAAGTTTTGATCGAATGATTTTTATTATTGGCTACCCACTAGAAATGATATCATAGGTTGTGGAGAATGTCTACATTCTTTGAAACGTAATGGTGTCCCTTATCTAATTCAAAAAGAATAATAGCTTATAAACGTCATGTAGTAATCTAAGAGACAGATCATGTAATCCTTTATGATCTCATTATTGGTTCATTGATTTATTTATTTTCTATTTATTCTTGCAACTTGCAACCTTTCTCATTTTATTTGATAAAGAAATTAACTTAGCTTTGATGATAATGAGTGTTTTCCCTCGTTACTTTCAAAAGATATTATTTGGAAGGATCAAAATATCATTTCAGAAAAAAAATCTTCCTAAAGATATTTATAAACATGATTGATTTGTATAATATAGGCAACTTCAAGAGAATTTTACACTTTCAAGTTATATGATCATAAACTAATAAATAGTAGCATATTACATGAATATTGTAAGAGTTTGGAGAGTTTTTGTGATATGTTTTCCTGGTATGATGATTTAATCGATTGAAGATAATTTATCGAACAAGTATGCACTTTATATTTACTTTCATTAAAAATTATTGGAGGAAATATATAAGAATGGATTTGATTAATTAAAAATGGTGTTAAAAGAGTGGTGGGACTGTATAGCAACTCAAAAGGATCCTTTTATGGGTTGAGGAACTCAATTGCATTATTAAGTTAAAACGAAACCTAGAGGCTATTTTTCTTGCCCTACGTTCATATCATATGTGGTGACTCACATCACATGGCTCATCATTTATTTCAATGACATGAAACTAAAGTTGCAATGATCTACTCAACAACGAGTTTTTAGTATATATGGACCACCATTAGCTAAATTTAATATACCTTTTTCTTCATCAGAAATAACAAGATTTGTGACAAATTGATCTAATTATTATAGACTTTTGTTAAGTGGTATATAGTTGACATGTTTTGAGTTTTGGGCAATTTTGGATGTTAGATACTTAATAGTACACTATAAATTACAAAGAACAAACCTTTTTATTCAGGATATAACCTTAGACGAAATATTGAAGTTAACTCATCAGTTCTAGAATACTAATGTTTTGTAACTAAACTGTAAATAAAACCAATTACCTCTAAACATTCATCGTTAAAAAATACATCATTTTCAATCCTCAACAATTGCCTCTAAGAACAGTAAAACCAAATATAAATTAGTTGTTGATTTTGTTTCAAAATTAAAAAAAAATTAGATGTTCAAAGCTCGGTATTGTTATTTTTCTTCTTCTTCAATGATTAAACGTACTATTACTCATTGTTGTCATCATTTTTTTTTGTCAAGAAATAACATTTCACGAGTCCATTATATACAAGTTGATCCAGAAAACAAACCACATAAACCACTGCTTAAGGTATATAGTATGAGAAATCATAATATATTTATTAATAAAAGTTATACTATAAATTATAAAAATGGTTTTAGGAATATTATTATTATCAATAAACACAAATTATGTTACGTATAAACTTCGATAAAATTATATAAAAAATAAATTAAAAATAATAAGTAAAAAGTATGTAAAATTTAAGTAAAATATTTTTTATGTGAGATTTTGTATTAAAAATTGATTACAGTAAAATTATGATTGATTATAGTCAAAATCTTGGTGATAGTATTAACGAATATTGCTATAAATTAACTTCATAAAATTATCTTTAATAATTCTTAATGGAGTTGAATTATTTTTTGAAAAATTTGTGTGATATTTTATATTATATATATATATATATATATATATATATATATATATATATATATATCGAAAAAATGTAAAAATATGTTCTTAAAAGTTTGATTGTATATATGTTTCACGTGATATCATAACAAATACATTAACACATCTTTACATTATTCCTCAAGCTTTTTCTGTAAGCATAGATACATTGACAAGCCACATGTTTTTTTATCACAAGCTAAAAGTGGAAATAAAAGAAAGAAAAAGAAATAAATTATGAATTGGATAGTTTATAAATGTAAGGATGATAAAATGAGGTTGGGGCCAAAATCAAGTGATTGGTTAGGAAGCAAAAGAAAAAGGAGAGTTTGAATAATTCTGTAATCATAGATAGTGAAAGTGACAGTTGGAAAAGGAGACATGAGAGGATCCTATATTTAGACATCACTTGAACTCATCTCTTCACAAGTGTCTGAATCTCCACATCACTACTTCATTTCTATCACAGGTAATGTCTTTGAGTTCCTCTGCCATATCTATTAGGCAATGCATTGTTACACCATTATTTACTATGTTGTCTAGATTTGTCATTCAAAGTGATCACTGATCAACTCAGTAAGACGCTTTATCATCTGTTTCCAGAAACTTCATTGTAATGGCAAAGAGGAGGTCATGGTTAGGTTGGATAAAAAGACTATTCATCTGCGAGGCCAAAGCAAAAGCAGAGAAGGTTTTTTTTGTTTCTCACTTGTGATACCATGAGTTGTCCATGTTTCTGAATCTAAAATGGTTTCTTGTTGTAGAAGTCGAGGAGATTGAGATGGGTATTTAGAAGACTTAAACTGAGACATCAGATTTCAACTAGGGTGCAAGAGACAAGGACTTTAAACCAAGCAACAGAGGATCAGAGAAAACATGCCATGAATGTAGCCATTGCCACAGCAGCAGCAGCTGAGGCAGCGGTTGCAGCGGCCAAGGCAGCTGCTGAGGTTGTCCGGATGGCGGGAAACGCCTTCACATCGTACCATTTTGTCAAGAAACATGATCTCAGTGAAGCTGCTATCAAGATTCAGAGTGCCTTCAGGGCTTATCTGGTCAGACACTCTCTTAGAGTACTATGTATAAAGCTTATTCTCTTGCAGTGTTTGATCATGTTGTATTGGTTACAAAACAGGCGAGGAAAGCGTTGCGTGCACTGAAGGCGCTTGTAAGGCTTCAAGCAATAGTTCGTGGCCGAGCTGTTAGGCGAAAGGTTTCTTCGTTGGTGAAGTCTACACCTTCCAACAAAGCTTCAACATCAAGCCTCATTAATAGAAACACAGAAGGAAAACATTGGTCCAAGACCAAAGAAGAACTCAAAGTAGAGTGCAATCGTCAGAATGGTTGGGACAGTAGCGCTCTCACAAAGGAAGACATCAATGCCATATGGTTGAGAAAGCAAGAAGGTGTGGTCAAGCGTGAGCGTATGTTGAAATACTCCCGGTCACATCGGGTAAGCTCCCCTCGCTCTTTCTCTCTTGGAATCTTTAGCTTCGGTTTGAAGTCTCATAGAGTTTTTTTTTTTGCAGGAGAGAAGAAGTCCTCACATGCTTCTTGAGTCATTACACACAAAGGAGATGGGAATGAGAAGTTGTAGACTGGAACATTGGGGTGAATCCAAGTCTCTCATTCCAAACGAGATCCTTGTCCCAACGAAAGTGAGGCTAAGAACGTTGCAGAGACAAGACTCTAGTGATGGACAAGACTCTCTATTTTCTTTCCCAAGGAGATCTTTTAGCCGTCTTGAGCAGAGTCTATTGGAGGATGAGAGCTGGTACCAAAGCTTCCCGCCTTATATGAGCGTGACAAAGTCAGCAAAGGAGAAGTTTAGATCACTGAGCACACCAAGGCAACGCATAGGGGTGATGGATTCTTGTCAGGATAACAATAAGAAGGATGGGGAGAAAGTATCTCTCTGGTCTTCCTTTGTCAGTGAAACTAGTAAGATGAGCAGCTCTAAGAAGTCTTCTCTGGCATCATGACACTTTCCTTTTCTTCTTTCTGGTTCTCTTATATATGTTTCTGAAGAGTGTTGTTTTTTTCGGAGGTAGGTGTGTGTTTGTGTTCATTTATGTTCATGACTGAGGATTTGGAAATATCTTTTATCAATGTGATTCTTTTGTTCAACTCACAGAAAAATAAAACTGTTGGTTTGAAAACGATAAGGGCTCTCTGCTCATGATAAGATAAACAGAACATGTATTTACATGCATCCAAACGATCAAGTGTTTAACTAAATAATAAACTTCTGAAAATGGTTCTATGGAAAAGAAAAAATGTAAAAAAAAATTATAAGTAGAAACTTCATCCGAAAGAACTTCATCCATCGAGTTTGATAGCAAACATGAGAAGAAGTAACCAATACAAACTTGAAACTCCTGAATGAGAGTTCGAACCGATACTATCTAGTATGTAATAGACACGAAGAAAAAAAGTGGAACCACAACCAACAAAGCAAAGAAAAAGCTGATTCAGTTGGAAACTTAGCATGTGATCATGAAACGTTATAAGGGTCTGTTAATTTCTCGATTTTATACACAAAGCTTCAAGGTTTGACACATGGAATGTTCAATCAAAATTTCTAGATTCAATATCCCTACCTAAGTTTTGTAATGTTCGAAGAAGACTCAATCGTGTTGTGTCATCCACTAAATTCTTAGTGCAGAGACCTGGACTCTGAATAAGAAGCACAAACTCAAACTCATTGTTTATTTTTGTATAAAGGTGTATTCAAAACTAACAATCAATGAATAAATATTTGACCCGATAATAAACAGGTTTATGGACTACTATACTATATGCCTAACGGAAGCTCTAAAGGATCATCCATTGGCGACGTGTATTATGATCACAACTTGGCCAATGGAATCCAGTCTCTGTGATTCATGCAGCAAATTGTTAACCTCCACTTGTTGTTCTTGCGCAACATAACCAAACTCGTAGACATTTAGTCCATTGTGTATTTGTGTTTTCCCCACATGCATCGTCGTTGCTTGTATCCACACCCATACTCCATGTCTCTTCTTGTTTGATAAGCCCTTTAGTAGTTGGGAAAGACATTAAGTCATGTGTATATATCATCTCTTCTTCTGATCGATTCATCAAACTCTTGCCTTTTGGATCGGTTTCCTATGTTTGAAGTCACCGCTTGGCTCGAGAGTGGAAAACTGATTGTGCGGTTTGACAGGTCATCTTAGAACATTTGGCGGGAAAATTGATTTTTTTTTTAGTTTAGTCAGAAAACATTATTTTGCGATATTACTGGGAAAACATGATTTAGCGTTTTCGTCGGGAAAATATGATTTTGCGGATTTCCAGAGAAAACATGATTTCACGGTTTGCCGAAAAATTTGATTTTATGGTTTTAATAAGGAAATTTAGTATTGCGAATTTGGCGAAAAAGCTGATTTTGTAGTTTTGACAGAAAAATATGACTTTACAGTTTTGCCTCAAAAATATGACTTTCAGTTTTGGTAGGAAAATATGATTTTCAATTTTGGCAAGAAATATGATTTTGAAAATTTAGCGAGGAAATATGATTTTTGGTTTTGGTGAAAAAAATGTGATTTTGAATTTTTGGTGGAAAACATGATTTTACGGTTTTCACAGAAAATGTGATTTTGTGATTTTATCTGGAAAACATGATTTGACAAATATGGCAGGAAAACATTATTTTAACTTTTTCTATATTTTCTATTCTCTTCCAAATTAGAAAACTTTAGATTTGTAGATTTATTGGACGCTCATGTCCAAATGGTTTGGTCCATATAATTTCGAGTTAAATGGTTTTCATTCCAATTGGACTACCTAGCCTTTTGAAATGACCATATTAAGACCATCTTAATTTTGAATGAACTAACCTATGATCATGAGATACGATTGACATCCCTATTGTATGTGTGTCCTATAGTTTTGATTTACGCAATCCTATTGGTCGAACCATCAATCAATTACATAAGGTAAAATCATTTTTCAAGAGTGGAGGAGAAAAATATACTATTACGAGAAATTGCTTGAAATACTACAAGTTGGCTACCATTTTCAAAAATACATTCAATCCAAAATATCATAACATTTGGATTTAGAGTTTATTGATTATTGTTTATGATATAGCATATATTTAGGGGGTTGGTTGGATTATAAAAATTTCTATAAACTTATAACATTTATAAATGATTCAAATGGGTTAGTTTAGTCTTTTTTCGTCACAAGCTTGTAGTATTTATGAAAATGATTATCCTATAATGATAAATTTGAAAAGTAATATCAAATTTGTGATAAAATTGAAATCTCCTACTTCTAAGCGAAGGAAACAACCTCATAAATAACTTGATTAGATATTTCCGCTTGTGTTTTCAGATTTGGGATATTTTCTTGCTTATCCCTGGGAGGAGGTAGATAACAAAATATTCCTCACTATTTCCATTACTAACTGGAATTACTTTTGTTCCCTCCCAATGACAATAGTCATGTGCAATTTAGCAATCTGTCATATAACAAAAAGAAAATAACAAGAAAAAAGAAGGCAAAAGAACTATAAAAACGGCTATTGTGTAGGATAAGACCGATAGCTAATGAGTCATGTATTTTAATTACCTATTAGTGTCTGTCTCCTGGAAGCAAAATGAATGATGAGATGAGTATGTGCACATCATCAATGATTATGTCGTGTTTTCAGCGGATCTTGGGGATATCACATATCCTAGTGGTTGGGTAACTTGTGTTGAGGAACTGCTGATTTGACAAATTGTCTCAACAGGTCCATTACCATTATTGTTGCAAATGATGGATGCTTTTGTTATAAGTGAATCAAGAAACACAGCAAATTGAACAGTACTTAATGCATAAACTCTAATGTTACATGGAGGTAACAAACACAAAAATAAAATCTCAAAAGAGAAGGACAAAATTTGTGCGTACTTAGTGTAAGAACCCTCAGATTATGGCTGCAATTTGAGGATTCAAATTCCTTTGGATCTCAGGGTCAGCCTGCACAAGAGCTCTTATACCAAAAACAAGTGTGATTTTCAGAAGAAAAATAAGTATTAAAAGATACAAAGATGTAATAACATAATAATTACAAAGTTGTTTACCATGTGATAGTGGTTTATAGATGGACTTATGGTCCATACCACTTGGTAAAGTTCTTATGATCATGATTCACATTCCCTCGGTAATTTATCGCCAAGTCTACCTACAAAACAATGATCATTTGTAATCATCATAATTGGCTTTAGTTATTTTTTATTAGGCTCTAACCCTCTCTCAAGCACGCACGCATGTCAAGCAATATCAATAATCATCTCAAACTCCATTAGTTTATCTTTTCTTGCCCTCCCTTTTGTGGTTTCACATGGAAAAAATAATTTCAACTTTTTCAAAATAACAAAGTCTACAGATAAGAATAATAATAATAATGTACTAAATACTTTGAGTATCTCTACACGGTTGACAAATAGCCTTTCTTCGGTGATTATGTATCAACCTACATTGTTCTGATTTAGACTCTCCATAATATTTTAATCCAAGGAGCAGAGTGCACAAATAGTCATGTTACCGACAATATGCTTTCTATCTTTGGCTCTAAATGTTCCCTGGTAAAGATTGATTCTATCTGGAAGAGTAAATGAATTGCCGTATCTATAGTAGTTGACTTCAGATCAATAAAGACGTCAACCACATTATCCACTATCGTTATTTTGTCAAAACTTTTGCTAGCCTGGGTAAGTGGCCTTTACGTCCCTCTTGTTGAGAAAATCCCTCTTCAACAACAAAATATTTATTGGTGGACTTTAATCTAGTACTCTCCTGATTGACCAACTTTGAACTTCTGTTTTGTTGGTTGGAGTAACTAGATTGACCATCAGATGTACACGTACTGCACCCATGCATTCTTGTAAAATAGGACATGCGATCAAAAGTTTGGAATGGCGATTAAGCAACAAATTAGTTCATAAAAAATTCATGGGAAATTACTTTGTACTTAGTTCATAAGAAAGGGGCATCATTGAAAATATTCGTAAACACAACATAATTTAGATAAAAATAATAATAATAATAATAATAATAGTAAAAATGTTTAAATTAATTGGATAATATTAACATATGTTATTCGTTTGGGTAAAAATAAGAATAAATAAAAATTAAGTATTAATTTACAATTAAAGGTAAAGATGTAAACAGTGTATCTTTAAATCTGAAACAATAATATTCATTATAGTACTTTAAAGCAAAAAATAGAAAATAAAATAGGATCGGAGATCATCTGACATTGCAACAACCAATGCTTCTGTTCACCCCCTAATTAGAGGCAGTAACTTCTACACCATCTTCCACGTGTTACTGTAGGATTGAATTGACTTTATTATCTCAAGGACCATGTCTAATTTTGATATCTTTTGAAAATTTAGTCGTACAATTTCTTTTTATATGTTCTTTCCTTTTACACATGACAATCTTGTCGACAAAATTGCGTATCACAATAGTATTAAGTAATAAATTTCATAAGTTCAACTTTGTATGATAAAATAGATTAATTTAATAAACTCAACAATAAGATAGGAGTTAGACTGTTAGTACTAGTTTAAGGCCATAAGCCAACTACTTGTATATATATATTTTATGACTTTGAGATGCAACTAGTGTTTTCTCTTATTTAAAAACAAGAATAGATTTCCAAGAAGGATCCAAAATCTGATGACCAAATGAATACAAGGAATAAATGACAAAAAGTGATTTCATTAAAAAATAAATGACAAATATACTCTTATTTTGTATATATGTAAATATAAACAAATATTCAAATAAAAAATAATGTTTTTTGCAACAAAAAAATTTGCATGTTGAAGTACAAAGACTAAATTACAATAAGTACAGCGAGTTGTTTGAATGTGTATGGTTCCGACCAAAGTCTAATTGCAGTCACTGCCCTCTGGGACCATGAGAACGCCAAGTTACCTCTCAACTATCATATTATGACGCT